GATATTGATATTACTTCAGTATATATAGTTTTGAAAGTTTGAAAGAATTTGATTTTGGTAATATGAGTGATATGTGCCTTAATAAAATTCTCGATCTGTCGACTGTATGAATGCTTTAAAAAACTAAAACAACCGATATCGAGTGGTTGAGTTAAATGTAAAGAATGAGGCGGTAAACCAAATAATATAATATTGTTTTTCTTGTAGTATTTCCGAAAAGCTATAGATTGATAATTTTCATATTTATTAAATACTAGTATACAATATCTATTTACTTTTTTACCTATAGTATGCTTATCAAAATGCTTAATTCATTTAAGATCGGTTTTATTATCTATCCATCCATTGGGAATAGGTTTTATAACCTAATTGTGTGGTAAACTATTTTCAGTATACTAGTTTGAAAAGTGATATTTGCCTTTAATTAGTAGAAACGGAGGTATATTGTGACCCTCTCCATTTATACAAATAATCACTATAGTCTATTTTCGATTGCTAGATTGTATAGCTTTATTTCTATTACATTGATTGGCTTTAGTGATTACTATATACAATATATTTGTCCCATTATAAAGCTAATTTCATCAAAATTATAGAAATCGTAATCGAGAATGCTATATTTGGCTCACATATTCGCTACCCAACCAAAACTATTTTTCAATAAACTCTAAATCTTTACAGAAAGCTTTTTGGAAATTATAAACACAAGTAAAATATATTTTTAAATCCGAATATTGTTATATGAATCAATTCGCTTAAAGCTTTCCAATTTTCTTATTACCTTTTGATTCCAGAATACTATTTGCTATATTTTCCATATTATTTATTCTAGGACTAAATCCTCTATCATCCATATCAAATATATATTGAATAATAATCTTCTTTTCCAAAATAATCAAATTATAACTTTTTGATTGGAATTCTATACAAGGGATCAAATTATTTATTCTGTGAATGAATATTATATATAATATATTATATAGCTTAACAGCTTTCCGAATACTCAGTTTTTTGTTTCTTTGAATAACTTCAATAGCTAAAAGTATTTATGTTTTTTTATTATTCGATTGCATAATAAATTGTTGATAAATCGCATGTTGAAGTGGAAAGATAATAATTGAGGTAAAAGTGGTGCACATGCTGATATGGTGCACATGCTGATAAACCACGTTACAATGTAACATTCGTATTTTTGTATGCTTGTCAATGGTGCCAGACCTAGTAGTATTCATCCGAATGTGCTTACTCTGTAGATTGTATTAGATAGGCATAAAATTTCATAAATTACTTTCAACCACAATTGAGTACCGCTGTCTAACGATTTTATCGATTAATGTATCGAATCGATATGGATTGTTCAAAGATTGAATTGATATAAGCTACCTATTGAAATGAATTGTATAGGAAAACGCAGGAGCTAATCAGGGGATGCTTCTTGTGCACTAGCACTATCGCAAGGCCCCACACAGAACAATTCTTCGTAAGGGTCAATGACTTGATAAGCACAATGGAAATAGACAAAGTATGGAGACTAATTATCAGCTCTTATGAAACATGATAAAGGCACGTAATCCGTAAGGGTCACGAAGTTATACGATTTAGGAAAGAAAGTGGATGGATTATTGAACGAAAAGGTCAGGTCATCTGGTGTCCTTACCTAGCTTACCAAACCAAAAGACCTGCATTTTGCTAACCCCGCAATAAATGGGATAGAATTTGATCCAAGGGCGACGCGAGCCTCGGCTTTAAGCCTTTTGACCTAGACCGATTTCTCAATCAGTATCTGGTCGGGGTTCCGACACAGGCCTCTCTACAATTGGATTGTATGAATACTACCAATACAATAGGAAGCTGTTTCCCCTCCACCCATGAGTGATTGATTGCTTAGATCATACACGCCAAACCCAATATTGACATACGTTTTTTAAACCCCTGCACAGAGTGAAAATCGAAAATGGTACCCGTCGTAGGAAACCTCTTACTTCGTAGAGATGCACCCATTATCAACTAGTGGTCTAGGGTGGGGATATGTCACATAAGGAAGGTTGCAGAAAGATTACTGACTGCAGACTGGATGTCTGTAATTATGTTGCTTTTGGATGCAAAGCCGTAGCGCTTTAGTCATGAGCTCTTGAAGCGTTGACTATCTCGTTCAAGTGGAGATGCTCTATCCTTAGCTTTATGCATTCTCATTTCTGCTTTATACAGCACAGTAAGCACAGAGCAATGTGTCAAGAGCGTCAAAGTTGGCGAAGAGAAGATCTGTTTCCTCTAGTTCCGTCAATTCCTCTTGCACATACACTTCAATGCTTTTCCAGCAAACGAGCATTATCGGGCCTACAGCTGCCATAATATCGGCTGTAGTTTGCTATGTCATCGTCTTATCTGTCTATCGTTTGTTTCTACACCCTTTGGCCAAATTTCCAGGTCCTAAGCTCGCTGCTCTTACAAAGTGGTATGAATTTTACTTCGACCTGCTGAAAGGCCATGGGGGGCAATTTGCCTGGGAAATACAGCGAATGCATGAAATATATGGTAAGTAAAATGCTGCCGACTTCAATCATAATCAATATCGACATCGATAAAAGCTAACTGGCTAGGACCTATTGTTAGAATAAATCCATTTGAGCTCCACGTACAAGACCCTGACTGGTTTGACACACTGTACGCTGGAAATCCTACCAAAAGGGACAAATATCCGCCAGCTGCAAGTATGGCTGGCGCACCTCTGGGCAGTGAGTAGTTGTCGAATTTGGAGATAATTAATCTTATCTAACCACCCGTCGCAGCTTTTGGCACAGTTGAGCATGATGTCCATCGAAAACGACGAGCTGCCAATAGCCATTTACTCTCTACACGTGCAATATTCGATGCTCAACCTCTGATACTGGACCAAGTACGAATTCTCTCGGACCAATTTGAACGGTATTTGAGTACGAAAGAAATAATTGACCTTCGCGTTACTTTCCTGGCCTTCACCACAGATACAATCACAAGATATGCGCTCGGGGAAAGTAAAGATCTTCAAGAAAACAAGACACTTGCAGTCGACTGGAGCGCAACAATAAGGGCTGTTGCCAGAATAACACCGCTGATGAAGCAGTTTCCCTGGATGATGACCGTAGCTCTTTACGTCCCTATCGACATTCTAAGATTCTTCATGCCTGAACTATCCAGACTAGTGCAGTATCATGCTGTGAGTGTTATTTCTTGGATAAAGCAATTCACTTCTCAGGACTGATATGATGGTCCCATACTATAGGAAATGCGAGCTTTTGCCGAGCGATTTTTATCCCAGCAACAGGCGAGCCAAGAAAAGCCGAAAATTCACGAAACTCCTTCTAACATGGCCTTGTTTCAATGCATATCAGATAGCAATCTACCAGTTCATGAGAAATCGGCAAAACGACTTGCTCACGAAGCAGTTGTAGTGATATCCGCAGCAGCCGAAACCACATCTCGCGCTCTGAGCATCACCATGTTTTATATACTGTCTGACCCTCAAGTTTTGAGACGACTACGGGATGAAATAGATATAGCAATGCCTGATTACTCCATCTTACCATCCGCAAAAGCTTTAGAAGAGCTTCCTTACTTGGTATTATATAGTCATTCAATCCTTTCATTCGAGCTACAACTCACCAAATTAGGTTGCAACCGTCAAGGAGGCATTACGAATATCTGCAATTATCACATCAAGAATGCCATTAATGGCTCATACTGAGCTGGCCTATAAGAATTGGAAGATACCAGTAATGGTAAGTCGTACATTTTTCTTTTGTAATCGAGAAATTGTTTGGCTGACTCATTATAAGACGCCTACGAGCATGACGATTCATGATATTCTACTTGATCCTAATATATATGAGAATCCACGCAAATTTAATCCAAATCGCTGGTTGGGGGAAGATCCCGTCCCAGAACGTTACTTTGTACCCTTTGGGAAGGGTACTCGGATGTGTCAGGGAATGAGGTATGCTCCTGCTACAATTTTCCCGTTTGGCCGAGCCTAATCGAGACTGACTTCTGGCAACTTCTCAAGATTTGCCTATACCGAGTTATACGTAGTATTAGCTACATTGCTCAGAAGGTATGAATTACAGCTACATGATACTTTGCGAGAACGGGACGTTGAATCTGTCCGGGATTGTTTCATCGGAGAGCCATATCCAGATAGTCTTGGGGTCAGAGTCAAGATCCTTGGCAAAAGACTGTAAAAAGTTAAATTTGACGATGGATTGGGTGGAAGTGCTGTTGCAAAATCGATCATGAAGCGCGACGCCGGGAAGTCGCATATACATACCTAAATTGGCATTTTCTCACAACCCGCTTGATGACATATCGTAACAGGCGGAAACTTCTCTGCCCTTAGACGGATGTAAATCTCGTATTCTTCAACAGTTCTGTCACTTGACAGATGTTCAAACTTGTTATTCATGATTCAGTGATGTATTTTGTACTTGATATATTTATACCGGAGGCTCGATATACCAACAAAAATCGTAGTAAACACCGCAATGATAAATTAAATCACTCCTCGGCCGTCTGATCAGAGTGATGGAAAACACCAAACTAGCCTTGCTTTTTCGACATAATCAAAGTAACTTACTCAAGCACGAGTCACTTTTGCTCCACATCACCGACAGGTTTCCCCCCTTTTGCTCCACATCACCGACAGGTTTCCCCCTGGTAATGCCCTTAAATTCGTGCTCCACACTTCGTGCTCTGTCGGAGCACCTTCCCAAAAGTCTCATGCAGTGATTATTCACGCCGCACACGTCGCTGCATGATTGTAACATCATGCTCCATATTGTATTGATGAATCTCTTAGCCATTCCTACCCTGCAGGAACTTGCAGAAACACCCTGATACCGGACAAAAAGTAAGCTTGAGTTAGCTGACGAACTATTAATGGCTTGGGAAAGCACTTCCCACATTTAAAGACCTTGAAGGCTGGAACCCCTTGGAATCTTCGAATCTGTCAAATAAGGCTCCTCAACATGAATCTTGTCATGAAGGCCAATGGCAACGGATCACTTAAGAAGCTCCCCGTTGATTTCGATAACTTCACTAATGGAAAGGACGCGGATATAATTTGTCCAATAAAATACATTTACGATTATCTCCCTCAGAAGCCAAAGTGGCTGCAGGCACAACAAGTCACTCTCAATGACGTGCTGCAACTACAATCAGTCGAGATACAGGGAGATACCAGAAACAATAGAATTTCCATCTACCCTGGAGCAGCTCATCTACCAGTTCACACTGGGCTTGGAAATTTTCGCCAGAGCAAACACTGGGAAGCAAACGAGAGGGCGACGACAGAGTTACTCGAGTTATTTGCGCAGGATCAACACTGCAAGGATGCGATGCTAACCAATGGACAATCTATGGCAACTCTTGCCAAACACCAGCTCCGAACTCCCGTTTTGGATACATATAGTCGCTTTAGCATTTACATGTTTGCTGATGCGGATGAGAACCGAATCCAGCTTCTGGCTCAAAGCGTGATTTTGATCTTCATATTTGATGGTAAGTCATTTTTCCTAGTCTCCACTTATGCTCTTTAGGCCTACTCTCACAATCTTTAGACATGTGGGAAAATGCATCCTCGGAATTTGTAAGTAGCCCTCCAAGTATAATGTTGAAGTCATCAAGCTTATTGCTCGAAGACCAGCCAGGTGCGAGATGATTTCATTGGACGTATCCAAGGCAACGTCTCCAAGTCTATAGCAGACACTCCACTACAGAGACGAATGCATGAAATTAGACAAGGATTCTTGGACGGGGATGAGGAAGATGGGGGAAATGCAGGTGCAGAGGTACTTCAAGAACTCATTGATTTTTGTCGTCATGAGCACCCTGAGGAATTTTCATCTGTACGGGAATACCTTGATTACCGTTATGATGACATTGCAAATAGGTAAAAGCAAACATTCCAAGTTTCTCAGTTTTTCTGACAATCGTTCTGATCAGATTCACGTGGGCATGTACCAAATTCTCTCTCCATTCGAGGGTTGACCTACATAGTCCAAAACTTCGTCGATTATTCGGCTACCTTGGTGATCAAATCTCTATTGCCAATGATATTGCTTCGTACGACAAAGAAGCAAAGCAATTTCTTGAAGGAAGAGCGAAGGAGATGATTAATCTAGTACATACTACTATGCAGGTCAATTGTATCAATGATGTCACAGCAGCGAAGTCAATGGCTTATGCTATACAACTCTGGACCGAGAATGAGATTTTAGAAGAGCTGAGAGCCCTGAGTCGCCAGGGACAACTCAGCGCTGAGGAATGGAGGTTGGTGGATGGGTGTTTGGTTGCTGCTTCAGGCAATCTTTTGACTTCAATTGTGATATCTAGGTATGGGGGTGAGGAGGCAAAGGTAGCCTTGTGATATACAGAACCCATAGAAGTTTGTGAATCCGAATCTAATGATATCATCACTTTCAGCTATTAGAAAGCCTCTTTATTAATTGTTCTACCTAAATGTTACCTACGATAATTGTAACATAAGGCTAGCAAGTACGTGTCTTAGGGTCGACCGAAGATGCGCGTGTTATCCTCTAGACTGCTGACTTAGAACATCTTAAGTAGTTCGTACATCTTTATAGTCATTAATAATTCAATAGATGATATTATCATTAAAAGTCTTTATATTAAATCTGAAATCTGAAATATATTAGGAAAATAACAAAATCTCAAATTTATTTTTGTCCTTTTCTCATATAAAAATAACTATAGACTGATTTCAAAAACATTATTATATTTTATCTTTTAAAATGAGATAATTTTATAAGCAATTTCTAAACAAATCTTATATAATTCATAATTAGAAAATATAACAAATCAAAATCTCGATGTTTGTTAAAAAGATAAAAGTATATATAAAATTGTATAGAAATTTAAAAATTATTTATTCCTTTTTATTAAAATAACAATCTCTTCACAATTTTCATTAAAAAAACATATTGAAAGAATGAGAATTCTTAAATTCCTGATGTTCTGATTGGTCAATAGATGCCCTGTATAAACGAGGTGTCCTTTGTTGACAGTCTAGGGGATAGCCGCCCAGCCTACTCGCCGACTCCGAGGGTACTCAACATACATCTTTATGCAAATCAGACACAACACCTTGTAACCTTGCCTAATAAACATTCCTTGAATTTATAATTACAGTCATTAATACAAACATTCTCCTATCACACGAAGTATTTTCGACAAAAGACGACTCAAAACATTATAAGCAGTGAGTTGCGACGTGATCAGATATCCACAAACAACTCATATAATCTCCAATAGACAGTGAAAATCGCATTGAATGCGGAGTCTGTTGCTGACAGTTTGTTAATAGTTGATATCAATCGAATACGGCCTCTGGGTTAATGAAATATGCCTCTGGTAGAACTCAATGATGGAACCAGTGATTGGCACGACGTCAAATATGCTGCCTTAATATTATGGAGAGACTCTCAAATTCCAGATATTATTGTTCTACAGAGCGATCTTCGCAACTACGATACAATTTCCGCCTCAAAAATTATTGATATTCACACCGGTATCAATCAAAATCGCAAAGCTATTCTTGTCAATGACCAGGATACAATCACCATTGCCTTTGAAGGGTCTACAGATGATGAGATTCTGGTAAGGGCTAGTTTGGATGTAAAATCCGTGCTGAATCCGCTGAAATAATCTATATTTTGTACCATTGCAGATTCCGTGATAGCATTAATCCGTTTCAAAAAGAGTGGATTATTAATCTGTGATTTTATAGTTAGATATCAAATCCGCTAAATAATCTATGATTTTTCTAGAATATTCAATTTAAATTTCAATTCGATATTAAAAACCCTATATTTAAAATTGAAAATTATATAAAAAGCTTTAATAAAATAATAATCGTGAAAAAGTACTTAGAATTGGAAAAAAAACATATTTTGATTTTATTTTCTTCTTTCTTTTCTTTTTAAAAAAAACCCTTTTTTGAAGTTTTTTGAAGTTATTTTCTATATATAAAATTATTTCAATAGCTAATAATGCAATCATTATCTAAAATATCTTGAAAGTGTTTAGGAAATCGAAAATTATTGATAACAATAGTAATCGAAGATTTATATCTATACAAAAAAGAGATAGAAAATCTCGAATTCAAAGTCTCTCTCCCTTAATTCGTTATTTTAAACAAAAGTCTAAATCTATAGCAAAAATAATCAAATCTCAAAGTCAACTTCGAGATTATAATACCTCCTTCTTTTTTTCTATTAGAAATTCACTTAGCCCTCAGCATTGCGGAGCGCTGCCGAAAAGAGCCGGTATTGATCTCACAGCTGTCTTCACTCATAATGCTGAGTTTGCTTTAATAACTAGCAAAGTGGTCACATTAATAATAATGGATATATAAGATATTTATAATATACTCCTTAAAAGATGGCTCCTATAATATATAAAGAAATAGAATTGGTCTATAGTGCTTTTGTAAACTCATTGATTTATTCCTGACTAAAAGATATATGTATATAAGGCTTGAGGGTGTGACACTTTGCCTTAGAAGAACTGCGAGAGCAGGGTATAATTTATCCTTAGAATCTACAATTACAGAATTGGGAGTAAAGTGTTTGTAGAGTGCTCTTATATACTAGCTATATATATGTGATTGTATATATATGCAAATATGCATGTAAGCGATCACAGTTATAATTGGGTGTGATCTATAATACTATCCCCTTTTTTGAAAAAGCTTATCCTTAAGCTTTATAATTATCTAATCTATAAATGTATTAGTAATCTCAATAAGGTATTGTTATTTATATTATAGTATAGTATAATAAATAGGTATATACGCAAATTTTGTTTTTTTCGCGATGGGAAGGTGTATGGGAAATAGAGGAAATCGTTCTGTAATCTAGCAATAGTGTGAAGCCTTCGAAATATATAGATCGCCTGAATTTCTCTCTCTCTTTTAAATCTTTTTCAATTATTTATTTTTTTTGTATTTCTCAATCAATAATCAATATGCCTTCTATATTATCAAGAAAACGTAGTAGTAAGAGCAAATTGTTGTTAGTGTAGTTAAAGCAGTAAGAGGATGTGTGTGTGATAGTAAATTGTTTATTTTTCTTTTACATTTGCTTTGCTGATATGCTTCTTTATAGTTTATAATGAAGAGAGTATTTGCCTTTTTTGTTGTGCGAGGCAAGTGTTCTGTTGAGAAAGAGAAGGAGTTGAGTTGTAATAGGAGTGGTAGTGATCCTATTGGTGAGAAGGAGGATGATAAGGAAGATAGATTGGATAATAAAGATATATATAAATAAGGCTTTTTTTTGATATCTCCGGCTTGCAGTCGGCTTATTTAACAAATATGATTATAGATACTAAAGATAATGTGTCTAAGGATAGGGTCAATCTTTAATATACTTATTGAATATATTCATTTTATTATTTTTCGAAATAGAATTCAAAAAAAGAATACAATCCCTTAATTAATCGTATTGATAATTACAAAAAAAAGTTTGCTGATAAGTTGATTATAATAATATATCATTTTTATGATCTCGAAAATAATAACGAAATAATTAAAAAAGATATCCTGGAGACCTTATATCAAAATCAATCTGATTGCAAATTCGATATATTCCATCATAAAAGCGTTAGCTTTATTGATATCAACAAATAGGGATCTCCAAGCAAGAGGTTATCAAAAAAGATAGTACTATAACGAGAATAATGTATTTGAGAAAATGGTTGGGTTTGTACTGACTACATACACAATTGTATTTTTGGTAAAGAAAATAATATCTATTATTGACTTTCTAAATAATTGTCTGGTTAATCTTATTGTTTACTTTATTTAGCTAGTAAGTATAAGTATAAGCACTTGTCTGATAAGGATATACACAAAATGTTTTTTCAATATTGATTGGCTGTTATTGAGTACAATAACATAACAAAAATAAGTTACAATTTTATTAACTTTTAGCAAAGTTAACTCTTGAGATAGTTTAATATACGGGAGGAACTAAAGAGTTACGTTTCGAAAGAATACTTTCTCTTACCCTTGCTCGAAAAGCTGCGAAATGTTGTGTAGTGGAGGTTGCAGTATGGAAAGACGAATTGGAGTAGCAGTACCAATTCGTCCTAACTCAAATGGAAGTAGAGCTTTCGGCAATTTGCAAGTAGTTGAATGCAATTGAGCACAGGCTTAGCCTTGTTGTTGTATATGCTGCAGCTAATAGTTATCTTGTCTTTTAGCTTGTGATTGTTCTGTATATACTTATTGTTACTATTGACTAAAAACTTAATTAGTATTTTGATTTAAACTATTTAGTTTTTGTTATTATATCTCATCCGACTGTAATTGTTAATATCTATAGAGGCTTTCTTTTTGATTTGATTTAAATCTGTTGGGCAAAGAAAAAGACTTTCTTTATTGATATTTCATTTTTGTTCAGTCACTTTCAGTTTTTCATATGATTAGGATTTTCTTTATTACAATAATAAATTAAAGAAATTCTTTTTATCTTTTTATTTATATATTGATTGTTATTTGTAAAATCGTAATTATCCTTTCTATTTTTGTAAAAACGAATCCATTTCGATAGATACATAGAAAGTTCTGGCAGAGTGGGATTTTGTAAATAAAAGTCACAGAGGTGATGCGGGGTAGTTTTTAAGTTAAAGGCGGGGTACCAGGTGAGATCGTTATTGGTGTTCAGCCATGATACTCTGTATTTAAGCTATCAGTATACTTTCTTTATAGCTAGAATATGCTTTACTTCCTATTCGGTATCATTAGTGATATTTATTAGGGGTAATGATTCGAGGATTTGTCCAGGAAATGGATTGTCTGCCGCTTTACAGAGTTTGCTAAATGGAAATATAGGGTGGATTTTCATAATAAGCAATAAGTCCAATTGAAAGGAATCTCCAGTCTGACCAATAATCTTGAATTTATTTTAAATAGAGTAATTTAGTTTTTTGGATAGTTATTATATTGGAAAGTCCTTTATATTAAACTATATATAATCTCCCATATCGAAATCGATTAAACAGTAATATGAATTGGCCGATCGAGATATCTTTTCTTGTATATATAAGATATTTTCTTTTACTCGATTGAATATTAGTTTATTGTATTTAGTATATTCTTTAGTATTGATTATATTCAAATCGTTAACAAGTGTGGTGAAATCGAGTTTTTAATCCCAGGGATTATGGGGTAGGTAGTTATACAAAGTTTTATACAGGGTTGATTATTTAATAATTTATAGAGAAATATAAATTGAGTGTAGTTTATTATTGATAGGAATTCAGATTAATCATCTTGATAATAGCTTATAAAGGGTTACAAGTGTTATTGGAAATATTGATTATAAATCTCAGTTTAATCATCAGTTT